TTACTTAATTCTCATAAATGAAACAGCAATAGGCCCCATAAAGTAAGATATTTTAGTAAAGAGATATTCTTAATTTAACAATATATGTGATACCAAGGTCTAATAAATTATCCCATTTAATTAAAATATAAAAATTTAATGGAATATCTAGATAAAAAATTTGATTTTTCCAATACACATTTGGAATCTAAAGATAAAGGATAAACTAGACTATCATAATTCTTGAAACCTCTAGACATATACGCAAAGCCTATTTAGCTAAGCTACAAAGGAAATTATGCATTCTAGACAGTCTTCGGAGGATTTATTTCAATTATTCTAATTATAATGATCTTTTCTTTCGGAATTTATAAATTTATCGATATGGTGGAATTAAGCCATACGATAGTTCAAAAGAATACTTAAATTATTGTTTCGAATTCTTATCAGCCTCCTGAGAATTTATCAGCAAAAAATATTACGTTCGCATTTATGCTATCTGATATAGATGCAGAAGTAATATTTCAAAATAAATCTTATGGGGAATTCAGGCTGGTTTAATATGATTTAAGACTTAAAAAAAATGATGTTGATGGGAAAAATTATAGAGAATGGAATGAATATATTGTTCCTTACTCAAAATGTGAAATTGACAGAAATTTCATTTATCCTAATAAAGAAGAAGCTAAATAATACAACTTAACGAATTTTTATTGCCCTGACTGGAAAAACTTGACCCTACAAGGGAATTGGTATTCAAAAAATTACAAGTACTTGACTCTAAGCTATATAAGATGCCAAGGCGAAAATTGTGTAAATTAAGAAGAATTCTAAAAGTGGATAGATGGTAAATGGGTTTAACAACTTATCATTAGCTCTTACTTTGCTGACAATAACTATGAGTAGCCAATTTAATACTTTTTAGATGATAGTTTTCTAGCTATTGAGAAGAATAGGACTATTTTTAATAGAATAAATTATTAGAAAAATTATTTAGAGTTGAGCGATAATATTGTTACCCTAGACCAATCATATAAGTAAGATTTCTTCTATATGATGTCTAGCTAAAGGACATTTTTTTCATCAGATACAGCAGGTGGTGGAGAAGGTGTATTTTTCTCTCAAGATTTTGTGCTGGACAAGGAGGTGAATATTTATACTAGAAGCGTATATTCTCTTAGCGATTTAGTAAGAGATATTGGTGGAATGTATAATGGCTTATATTTTATTGGCTTATTTCTTTACCAAAGACTTTAAGACACTATACTATTCTCATCTCTTATAGGTAAACTCTATTAAGTTGAGAAAATTTATCAAGAAAAATTAACCAAAAATCATAACACCTTACTAAGCCACAACAATCGAATCTGTAAAGAAAATGAAATAAATAAAAATTAGAAGGAAGAATGGAAGAGAAATGGTCTTGAAGCTAATTAAAGTAAAGTTTTATAGTAAAATTAAGATCATCTTAATAAGTCTAAATTAAAACAACTAAGCACCTAAAAACCTTAAAAACTGGCAAATGTATGTTTAAATAATTTAATTGAGAACTAATGGAAGTTAAAAGCTAAGGAGCTTTTAAATCTTGTCTAATATATTGGAAATAGATTAAGAATTAATTTTTCCTTAGGAGATAAGTTAAAGATTACATTTTCCAAACTCTATATATGCTGTTGTTTTATTTGAAAAAATAGCAAGTAATATAAAGAAACTTTGAAAAGAATAGCACTTTATAATAAAGCTTACTTAAAGATACAACATGAATTAGATGCTGTAAATCTTCTAAATAAATTGAGATAACTGGATCTAATCTTAATGCTTTTATTTAACAAAGAACAAAGGTATCTGTTACATTTTTAGAAGAAGCATTTATTAATTTAAGATGATTCAACTTCAGAGGAAGAAAATTAATTCTAATCAGTAATAAGAAATGGTATTGCTGATGATAGAAAAGGTGAATCATCAGGCTAAAATAATATGAACAATCCAAGAAAACAACTTCTAGTTTCTGCTTTGAGTAAATATTCAACGAAAAGAGATATACCAATAATAGATAAAAAGATTCTCCATGGTTTATTATCAATTAAAGAGCTAATTATTCAATAGTCTATTGACGAGAATGCAGAGAGTCCCCTTTGCACTTCTAATGATCTAGAAAATAGCATTAGATTTTCCTAAAATAATATAGAGGAATAAAATGAAAATATTAACAAAACCATTTAAAATACTGAAATTAGCTAAATAAATGATGATGAAATGAAACCTTATTTAGAAGGAAAGAGGAAAGTATGGAAGTAATTTTGATTAAGATATTTAGTTGAAATTTGAAATTTGGTTTACGATATTAGAAAATGTTTATTTTTTAATGGATTCAAAGACAAATGGGCAATGATTTAATTTTTTAACATTCATTCTTAATATTTTTATATTTGGACATAGGGGTTTTGGGGTTTTGGGG